CTTCTCAACCGTAAAATGCTCCTCAATCACATACCATTGCCGTAACAAAGATTTATTATACCGAATTTTGACTTGAAAAAATTTTAATAATTTTTTTTCACGGAAGACATTAATAAATTTAACGTTAAATCGAACACGGAATAAAATTTTAATATTATTTAAAATATTAGTTATATTTTGGAATTGTTTTTCAATTATTATTATGGCAAAATAACAAAATTAAAACGCTTTGCACGAAACTTGTCTAAATATTTTTGGTCGTGATCGAATATCTTGTATAAATTTCATAATACTGGTATAATATCTCTGAGGGATGCTAGGGCTTCTCGTGGATTAAATCCTCAAGCTGTTGACAGAAGCGCTGTTTTTGTCTACTGGTTGGTCTGGTTGGATCTTTGTGCCTTCTGGCCGTAGGAAGTAGGGACAGGTTAGGTCAATTCACATTGAGCCACGACCGTGGAGGCGGCAACAGGTGCTCGGGTCACGGTTCGATGCCCGGCTATACGGCATCAGCCGCCTCTTCGTTCGTCTCTCTACCTGAAGTCCACGGTTAGCGATGCTAACGTTTGCGTCCTCCACTTTTATAATTATTGCCGGCTGGACGACTTTCGCCGTGAGAGTACATAAAAGCTATTTTATGATTAGATTCATGTAACGCGATACAACAAAGGTTGCTTGAAAAAAACGCTTTAACAACTTTATTGTTTATTATATAATACAACAGATTTGATTAAAATGTAATTAAAATTTTACAGGTTTGCTTTAATTTTGTTTTAATTATTTTATAATTTTTAATTAAGTTTATTTTTGTGTTAGTTATTTTAAATATTTGCTATATTAAAAACTTTTTAATTCTGAATTTAATAAGAAAAATAAGTAAAATGTTAATTTAAAATAATAAGATTGATGAAAGTCGTCCAAATTTCTCAAATAATCAAATATTTAGTATATATTTTAAAACACTGATATAATAGTGTCAGGATGCTAGGCATTCTTATGGATTAAACGTGTTAAAGAATTCGCAAGAACGTGTCCAGTCCAAGTCAACTAGTCGTGTGCCTTGTGTCATCTATCAATGTCTTCTCAACCGTAAATTGCTCAATCACATACCATTGCCGTAATAAAGTTTATTATACCGAATTTTGTCTTGAAAAAATTTTAATAATCTTTTTTCGCGGAAGACATGAATAAATTTAACGTTAAATCAAACACGGAATAAAATTTTAAGAAGAAGAATCGCAAGAAAAAATCAACTCTTGCTTCTACTTTTGCTTCAAATATCTTCAGACAAAATCACAGAATAATGTGTATAAACGTACATGGTTGTTTATACGCACAGAAGTTTCTTGTGGTGTTTCCACTGGTACGTATAGACTAAACGTGCGAGAAACGTGCGAGACATTTGTGCCCATTCATCAGCCGGTACGTGTTTAACGTTCGAGTACAAAGACTTAATGTAAATTTAACCCGTGGAGAATGATCATCCCCTCCTCCTCCCCCGAGTCGCGCAGCTCCTCACATTAACTCTGCAATTCGCACGGGAGGTCTAAAGACCGCACCACGATGTCCGTGCACTTTCCTATTTCATTTTTCAATAACGACAACAAGAGTCACGCATTATGGTTAACACCTACTAACTGTCGCATAAATTACAGCATTATGTTAGAATATTTTACAACGTGTCACGTAATTTCGTCTTGTAAACTCTACGCACGTGAATGAAGCAATATAAATAATGACTTCAACGCGAATTAGACTTATTGTATATCAGAGCAATTTCTTATAATAATAATTTTTGATTTCAGATCTTTTTATATTAATAATAATTTAAATTTCTCAAATGTTATTAACAAATTTTTAATTTTAGGAAATTTAACACGTTGTGTTTAAAATTAATTTAAAATACTCAAAATATTTTAGCAGATTATTAATGATTCAAAATTTTGAAACATATCTGAAGTATTTGTTTGTATGATGTAAATGATACTTTAGAGTACCGTTGGTTCCAGTTATATGCGGCTAATATCTGCCCTACGGTATCGGTTGCTATGTAAATACCATGTATCCATCATGTATATCTGATACTACCGGGGTGCTCATCATAGTTTATTGATACATACGTAGCATATATTATAATAATTTTAATATATTACCAGTAATCTAAAAGGTCTTTCTCACCGTTTTCCGCTAAACTTTTATTAAAGGAGATTTATCTTGAAATGATGATCTTGCATTTGAGAAATTTAATATTATTGAACTTTTTCTAAATTATTTTTATGTACGGAAAATAATCTTCGGTTCTCTTTCGCTTTGATATGCGAGCGTGAAAATATAATACGACTAGCATCAGACTGCACCGAACTAGCGAAAAGTTTCGCTCGGAATACCGTTATAAAGAGGCTAGGGGTCAAAACAGTTAGGTCGATTAATAAACGTGAGATATTATGTTCGATTGTCGATCCTCCATTGAGATCACAAATGAAGAAATCGTAATGTAAATGGTACATTGTGTTTTATTTATATTATAATTTATGTAATTTATTATGGAATGACTCTGCTTTACCGTCAAAAGATATATAAATACCACGAGATCATCGCATCTATCTCATCGATATCATAACTGTTTATCTTAGTATTATTATCATATAGTGACTGTTGGTATTTTTAACCCTTTCAGTCAAAGAAAATTATTTTTTCCCCTTTGAGGAAAATTATGTTAAAATTACTGTTATATGGCTCGAGAAAAAGCAAAGGGTGCAAATTTAAGATATCAAATTCTCCTGACATTGCCAATCGTCTCTTATCTCCCTATCTCTCTATCTTGAATTTCAAGATTTGCTTTACTCATGATATATGATAAGTACGTGCAAAAATGATGTGTCGTTGTTGAAGGCGTAATGTTGATGATTTGCACGAATGCACTCTATGATATGCACGTCTGTCTTATTTTTATGACGGACAATTATGCACGTTGCATTCTGTGATTTAATTCGCGATATAAGCGCGATTAATTTAGAAATGTCATAAACAAAATTGATATAGAATTACATCGTGGCTATATTAATTTCTGCACGTAACATATGCTTGCTCAATCCACTGAAAACTTACCTTGTAAAACACTTTCGAACTTTTCTCGCATTCTTTATCTAATCACTAATCACTACTTTCGTAATAGATATTTGTGCACAATTTACGTTTTGGTTGCTTTTAATACTTCGATAAGTCTTAAACTCACTCTTTAATAAATTCTGTTAATAGTGAATTTAAGTTTTGATAAACAATCGACCTTCAAAATCAGCGTCGAACGCAAGACTGATTTTATACGCGTTGCTGCGTACTTATATATTTGGAGTTATCTTATTCTCCATCGTTTTACAGTTAGGAATCCCAGTTAACGTTGCTGCCAGCAACTTAAAACACGAGTAAATTGAAAAAAAAGCTCGATACCATAAGCGGGAACATTAAACAGCTGACGACAAACCTGAAGACACGCGAGCTTATTGATGCAACGTCTGCATCTACTTCTTTAAACGCTGAGTGCAATTCGATTTAATTGGCGATCTCCGAGTGTCTACATCTGCGAGCTATAATTAAATAACGGGTTATTATTAAGCAAAAGATGCGATAAATTTTTTAAAATAAGTTTGATATATTTTTTTACATTTTTATATTTATAAAAAAGGGAAAAAATTATCAAAAAAGAATAAAATTTTTTTTCAACTAAGTACTTACATTAAATAAAAAACCGCAGATTTCTGATAGCAATTTGCTTGATTTATGGTCATATCGCTATTATCGTTATTACGTATTCTATAGGGAGCGGGCAAAAGTATCAATAGCTCATTAAATTTAACCCTAGGCACACGCACACTGCCGAGGGTTACGTGACTGCGAGAAATAACGCGTGACCCCGCCGGGAAAATGACCGGACTTTTCTCTCTTTCTCCCTTTCATCGCAGTTCGCCTAAATGCGCATAGAACAGTCTGGATGTGTTTTTGGGTGGAGTGCATGAAAGATGACCGGCGCTCTCTAAATAGTAGTGATAGCTCCACGTGTGTGTCTCCCACTTGATCGCGAGTGCTTCTCCGGATCGAACTCTAGAGCATCATTAAGGTGCCGAATAATCGGGCGTGAATGCTTCACTGATGACGCTGTTTACGATACAAATACGATTGCTCTTCTGACGAATATCCGTTCGAGGAAGCGTGATTACACGCTCGAATGTGCATAGCTTCTTGTACATTTTCTTGCGCGACATAAAATTGCACATAACGTCACCCGTTCACGCTTCTAAAAATATCTGAGGAAATGAATAAGCGATAAATCAAATTATTCATTATATTTTAAACTATGTAAGATTCTCTGAACTTTTTTATTCGGAATTAATTAACATTTTTTAAACAGTGAAAGAGAAGGTAATAAGAACTGGAAGCGCGGTTGTCAAAATTTTTGTGCATTAATTTATAATAGTTGATCATTTATTTCCATCTTTATTATAGTTTATTTAAAAAAAAACCACTCTTTACAGTATTAAAATTTGCTTTACGATAACCCGAGATATCTTACTCAGCGCCTCGCTGCAATCGCTCTCTCAATCGGACCAAAATAATACCTGGCTGAAGAAAGAACGCGTGAACGTACGAACGACTTCCGTAAACTCGTGTGTACCCCTGTCGGTCCGTGACCTGCCTTACTAGCTCCTTCGGAGTGCAGCTATTCTCCTCGGCGTCGGTGCATTCCTCACTCTCCCTTACTCTGACCGCCCCTTCCATTTTCCTGGCCTCGCACTTCCCCTCTATCGGACCCGTGCTCCTTCGCCTTCCGCAGGAGCAAGCGAGGCAGGATCGGGGGACCGACAGATGGGTCGGTCAGAGGGAGAGGACGGTCGTCGGCGCGTTGAGGTTACGATCGGGGAAGGAAGGCGGGGTGGGGGGTAGGCCCGTTTCTTGAATCTCTCTGCAGCGAGGGAGAGCCGCCGGCCGGGTGGGCGGCAGTTGTCCAGGCGTCGGCAGTCTGCGTTCCGAGGCGACGTGGCCTGCACGACGGAGCGACATACCGCGTCCTCTCCAATTCTCAGTGCGCTCTCTTCTCTCTTTTCCTTCTCCTCCTCCTCCTCTCCACCGCACGCTGTCTTCCGTCTTTCTGCCTCCGATTCCCTCTCTCCGGATCTTTCTCTCCCACTTCATCGCGTGTCCCTGTGCTTCTCTCGTCGCCACCGTCCTTGCGCCTGACTCTGTTTCTCTCTTTCTCTCTTTATCCGTCTCGATTTATCACGCGCGATTCTCTTTGTCGCTCCAGCACCTGGCTCGCGACGCGACTCTCCGCTCCGGATACTCGGCGACTTCGTCAACACGCCTCGCCGCCGCCGTCTTCGTGGTCGTCGTCATCGTCGCCGCGCAGTAGACACATACAGACGTACGCGTAGCGAGAGAGAAAGAGAGAGGAATTCGCAGTGCCACGTTTCGAAACGCCCGGTCGTCGCCGTGTCGCGCGTGTGTCCGCTGCACGAGGAGTAGTGAACTGTGCGGAGAACGAGCGAGCAACGGTCGCTCGCTCGCTCGCTCGCTCGCTCGTGTTTCCAGCTCCGGTGTGTTCGTTCGCGGGTGTCAGTGACATTATTCTAGTCTAGTAGGTATCTAGCGGCCTAGAGCGATAGTAACGACTACGCAGAGTCCTCGCGATACCGTTTCTCGAGCACGGTGAACGCATTGTGTTCCCTGCGCTCCGAACGAGCGAATCGATGCGCGTTAACGTTATCAGTCACGATAAGACGTAACTCCGGTGTTTACGGTATGAGGCATGCCGCTCTTGCGACGGCTTGTTAACGGCGCGAGCATTCTAGTTGTGATTGACACGTGTGCGGAGAGAGAGCCGCGATCGTAACGATTTAGCGTAAAAGTCAAAAATTTCTGTCATTTTTGGTGAGTTCAGAGATCAACGCTACAAGTACGCGAAAATGTTGCTCGCTCGAGACCGCAAAGTGCATTTTTTCATGTTTGTAGAGTTGAAATCCAATTTCATCGAGATATCGTTGTATCTTTAACCGAATTTAATCTTCTATTTATTCTCTATTTCGTTTGTCGAGCAATATTTGCCGATGAAATAATGTTTGTCCGAAAGTAACCCGAACAACGCCAGGCGTCTGTTTAACTCACACGGCTCATAATCGCAGTAATTCCAGACACTCCTTGCACCCTTCTGTTCTCTCGCTCACTCTGATCGATTCGTCGATATCAATAGATACGCCTCTTCTTTCTCACCGCGGCTGTTCCGTTCGCTTATCATTATCGCTGACGCCTTGTGGTCGACCTGTTATCGATCCGAAATATTTCATTGACACTACAGTCATAATATTGATTTTTTATTTTTGCACAGATTACGTGTCCTACGTATGTATCATTCATATAAATTTTATTTTACATAGAGTGCAAAATTGTTGTAAAGAAATTTTAAAGGAATATGCAAAAACATTAAAAAACTTTATCTTATATAATTTCTAATTAATTTTAACTTTATTACAATAGAAATTTTATTCAAGACATCAATTTATTTAGTTAATTTATTATAATTATGCAATCATAGACTTTCCTAAAATTCTTTAAAAGTCATTCTTCAGTCGTTAGGCTTTGAAATTTAGGCTAAGAGAGATGTAAACATGCAAATATATATTTTTCCTACTGAAAAATCAACAATAGCGTCATACGCTATATCATCGACTATCACTTAAGCGCTGCGTGTTTATCTCTTATTATCGATGCGGCATAAGCCGGATAAATACGAGATGGCAGATAGACCGCGTAAGATAGAAAACACAATTTGCTTAGTCTGCTCAACAATAACTGCTCAACAAAGCGGTACGAACACCGTCTCACAGATAACATTAGAAAAATATCTAGTCATTTCCGAAACATTGCGATACATTTTTTATTTTGTTTACTGTAAGTGATATATTTAGTCATAAAAGCGTGCCGCTTTCAAGTTTTCCTGATGTTGAATGATAAACTGCTATGGGAAGAAAGTCGTTTTTATCGAATACGGCGATTATGTAATAGACCGAGAGCGAGGAGTAGCAAGTCGACAAGCCACACGACAAAACTGGTCGAGGCGCACGGGAGCACATATAACGCGTTTACTCACACGCCGGTTCGAGCGTGCGCGACTTCTTAATTTGGTTGGATCGCGAAAGTTTTACTCGAATTGGTTTTTGCCTAGGGCACAGTGCCCATGATGTTAATTTATGTAGAAAATTTACATCAAATCAGAGTACATGAATAATTTCTTAGTCTGAAGATTACTTATTAAAATACTCGATGATGAAAATTAGAATAAATTTTAAGATGCTTTACATGCAACAATTAAGAATAAAAATATTTTGGTTTGTGAGAATAAAATAACATTGATCGAGTATTTTTGCAACAACTTGCTTGACCGAATTGACAGCGCCGATTTCACGGTCATATAAATTCTCGAGGAGAGGAAAGGCCTTTAAATTCATTTAAATCTATTAATGTGGCACAAGGCTATATATGAAAGTCGTCTGCTGCACTATTATTGCTATTATCGTTCGTCCTTTGTAAAGGAATTACTCATCGACAATCGTCATTCCTCCTCGTTAACGTTTCGAGATTCGCTTTTCCTTTCTACCTGCAGCCGGGGCGGCTGTCACTTTTTCAACGCGCCGGCAACACTTTAAGTCGAATGCAAATTATCGTAAATGACGTCTCGCGCTCTCGCGTGCGATTGTGCTCGGCGAGATGAAATCATTCTCGGTTATTTTCTCGACTTCCCTTTTGCTGCGGGTGAACGTGAGCTCATCGCGAAACGATATTCTAGTGCACAATAGCTGCAAACGACAGCAGTGACGAAAATTTCCTTATACGGTCAATGCGCGGTGATGAAATTCGCGCCCTCGGTAAACGCTTCCAAAAGTGTGACTCGATTGTGGGCGAACATGTCTAGGCAAATACAGGTGGAGTCCGGTTGGTTTTGGGCCTAACGCGCGAACCGGTCCTTTCCTCTCAAAACTAAATTCCGACGGCTTTAAACAAGTTTTCCATTCTTGGTAGCGGCAGCAGGTAGAATTCACTTTTCATCGCGAGGTAGGAATCTTATTGTCATTCTCGGCAGCGAAAGTGATTCGGGAAATTTCTGGACTACATCGACGTGGAATAAATATTGAAATATGCATCATATTTGTCGCAATACATATTTTAATATTTATTATGTAATATATATATTTTTCTAGCACTAAAAAAATAGAATTTCCAAAGCCGCGGAAGTTAGATTTCTTCATAAATTTGGTAGGCTTGCATGTCTTTATCGGCAATTCCCACGCTTTACCGATCACTTAATTTGTACCCTTGTACACTTGTTGGCAAGTAGCTCGGGGTAAGAATAAACGTGACTCCCATGTTCATTTGACGTCGGCGGCGATTGCATTGTGATCGAACACGGTGCATGTTCGTATCCGCGTAAATTACGCCTCCGCCGGCGCGCAGAAACTCGTAATCTGCTCTCGGTATAGCGCGTGACATCCGTGCGAACAACTTTCGTATCATTATCGCTTAGCCCACGTACTTGATCGCTCGCACAGCCTTTTAAGGGCCGATCGCGATCGAAGGTATCGTCTTTATCGTCACGCGCTCCCTTTATCAAGACTAATTGCTCGATTAAAATGACATGCAAGTCAAACTTCCAATCAAGCAAAGAGAGAGAGAGAGAGAGAGAGATTTTCTTTTTATTCATGTATTTATGATGATGAAGGGATTTTATTCATCGCCGAAGTCGCTTCAGGAAGAGACGTATTGTTTGCTCTCTGTCAACCTTCCGCCTACTTTGCTTTGAAATCGATCCTTAGTCTCTCATTACCTTAATCGTCCTCGCAGCTCGTCTCTCGCTCACCGTGTGTAACTCGTCGTAGGAGCCAACGCCCTGCCAAGGGTACCGCGCGTCCTACGACGAGAAACACGCACGAATACACGCGTCATATGGTCGATTATATGTACATGGAGAAAATACGAGATTAGAGTACGCGGTTGTGTGCGTAGTATTTTTTCGTAATTCACGTAGGACGTGAATTGCGATTCGATTAGCCTCGGCGAGTTCCCTTCAAGGTTGATCGCGGAGGGAGAGTCACCTCTCGCAGGGCCCCGGGAGTAGTAGTGGGCCGAGATCGACTGCGGACCCGTTATGCGACTTGGCGCAAGAATGCCGCCGAGCCGGCCTCCGTATAGCCCGCGTTATGCCGCTCGCGATACGAGCGCGCGTGCCGTCCCGTCTTTCGCCCGGTTCCTCCTCGCTCTCGCGAGGAATCTTCGTAGACCCCTCCCCCTCGAATTTTGATGAAGCTTGATGAACCAGGCGAATTTCGACGCATTCCTTATTCATGGCCGAAATCGTCGAGAATGTCGCAATTGATTATTCGTGCTCCGAACATTTCTGCGCGGCGTCAATCGATTTATTCACACAATTGGCAATTATTATTATTTTATTTAGTTTCTTTCTTCGACTTTGTAGATAATTATTACAATCTAATAATTCTTCTTGCTCGTAGACAATCGACCGCCACATGCGGGACGATAAATGCTGCTTCTAATTGCGATATTCCGCTGCGAGTAGTGTTGCGAAGTACGATTGCGAGGCGAGCAGGCATAATACCGTCGGGGTTTCGCCTCGTCATTTAACAGGCTTGTTCGTTAATACCCCGCGGCTATATCTACGCGCTTCTTCCGCTCTATGCACGCGATGTAAGATACTAATGCATCAGAGATATTAATGCGCGCCCCTTTAGACAGTTTCTCAATGCGGTCATAGTGCTCCTATTGACGGATCCTGTTAGCGGGCATTATGCATCCGCATATTTTTGGCATACCTTTACGGTCGCGATGTATGACGCGCGGTCTGCAAACAGGCTATGCTCATATAAGGCACACGTGTACCGTCGAGGTGATGCGAGAGAGTACGTTTCTCAGAACGCGTGATTCAGCAACCAGCGACATTAAGAGCGAGACCGTCGTCGTCGCTCCCGTGCCGCCATTCGGTGTTTAATGAATTAACAAGGGCTCGTCCATCAGGCGTGTCCCGACGGGATCAATTAAAGCCGCGGGTCAACGAGCGGCGAAATATGCATTCTCCTCGGTTCGAGTTTACTTGAATACAAAAGGGGAAGGTACACCGTTACACTTTAAATTGAATCCAGAAGTAAGAAATCAACCCGCGTTCAAATTTCAACTCGTGTGCGAAAAATTCTAACTAGTTTCACATCGAGTTTTGATCCGAATTTTCGAAGATCCAGTTTTTGTAAACGCTTTTTCCGCAATGGTTACTCAACGGTACCCTCGATTTTTGCGCGACGCGATGACGACCGCGTTGTACAGTGACCTCACCTAACCGCACGGTGCGTGGCGTCCGTGTCACTCTGTTTTCTTTCCGTTTCTAATTTCGTGCAGGCAAGAGTGACGACCGGCTTCTTGCGCTTATATATATATATATATACATACACACATGGTCCAATCGCGGCGACATGGTCCACGACTGCAAGTGCAGCGATCAAGCGAGCGCGCACGCCATCGACCCAATCGTGTATGCACGTCGCGCGGCGCATCGTCGCGACAACGTGCTCTTCGTATTCCACGCTGCGTTCGCCTTGCGTTTCTGCAAGAATTTTGTTCAAGGGAAAAACATTTTTTTTTTTTTCTAATTACGAAAGAGAAAGAAAGCGCGCGCGATGTATGGTGACTGCCAAACGGCGTAGGTGCGTCTGGTGGCCTCCGGGCAAATCGGCGAGAATTGGTTCATGACGACCCTTTCTGACAAACACCAACCAGGACGGGGCACCCACGTACCCGTTCTCCGTTTACCATATGCGGGGAGTTCGATCTCGCGGTTAGGCGCGCTCCCATCGTCGTCTCAAGTCTCTGCCGATGCCGGGCGTGTGCGTCGGCGCTCAGTCTCCACGCGCCTCGCGGATCGTCAGTTCGAAAAGGTCGCTCGATCTGTCCGCCTGTCCATCCGATTTTGCTTTCCGCTCGGTGTGTTGTGACCGGTCTCTTCGACGTCGCCATAGGTTCGTGTCGTAGGCATTGCAGTGAGTTATGAAATAGAAAAGGAGACCTGATTGTCTATCCGATTAAATTATCCGACAGTTTAATAAAAGTGAAGATTCGGTTATTAATTGAAAATCTTTTAAATAAATACTTTAAGCAGTGCGGTGTTTTTACGGCATAGAATTTAGTTGTCATCTATTGTTATTGATAATTTTGATTTGTTCTTTCAATTTTACATAAGAACGTAATTAGAGTTTGTTAAAGACGAAAAATTCCGCGGAGGAATAAAACTGAAAAATATGCGTTACATAAATCGCGAGTTAATCATACTTAATCGCCGTTGTTTCATCGCTGTTGTTGCGGTCAGGCTATTTCTATCCTGGTTGTTAGCCTAATATGCCGGATGATCGATTACAAATTTGATGGGCACGCGTAGGATAATAGCACCTGGCGGTCGGGCGTAACCGTGATCGAGTTTCCGAGTTTCTTACTTAGGCGTGCATCAAGGCCGTTGATTTCTAATCTAGCACGTATACATCGATCGACCGTTTTTTTCCACTTCTACCTTGTCATTCCTCTTTGTTTCTACCGTTTTTCACCATTTCTTGAATTATTTGGAATTCGTAAATTTTTTATTTGTCCAAAATTTTTTGTACACAATAAATCAAAGTCGCGATGTTAAAAAATTATTAATGATGTGGTTTTTAAACTTTGAACACATAATATTATCCAAAAATAAGATTTTAAAGATGACGATATGATTTTAAGGAGAAAACTCTATCGAAGGCTCTCTCTCTGATCACGTGAAATTATTGATCAAACGTTTGTTTTTTAAATACTCTGATGCGCACATCACGCATTGTCGCACTGTCGCACTATACAGGTTTCCCATGTTGTCATTGACAGGAGCACGCGACTCGGGTGTTTTTCGAGAATTCACGAAGTGCCATATCGTGTACGAGATCGGAGCGGTATAAGACGGCGCTCGCATTTGCATATGCCGCGCGGCAGGTTGGAATCCGAAAGTGAGGGAACCCTTGGCCGATTCCCCGAACGACGGGAGGGCTCGAGTAACCGATCGCGTTCCAGCCGAAGCTGGTGCACGTCGCGGTAAACAGCGACGGAGATAATCGGCGAATCTCGCAGAGACTCGCGCGTCGAGCATTCCGTCGCGCTGCTGCGACAGCGATAAAGACGAGGGGAAACGAGAAAGCTACTCAACGAACGATCGAAACCGAAAAGCTCCTTCGACTCGAGTACGCATCTCGAGAGAGAAAAATTTGCGAAGATGCGAGAAAAATCGCGCGACTGAAGGGCAACGAACAGTGACTCAAAATATTTCGAAGGATAGTGCGATTTTTACGAACATCGAATGGTGAAACGCAAGTAAGCGGATAATCAACTGACTCGCGCAAAGCCGAGTTCCGAGCGGCCGCCGTCGGCTGTTATCGGGGCGGCGTGAAAGAACACCGTCGGTTCCGCGTTCGTGCCGTGAGTGTGTCATGATAGTTTGCGTGGCCGGCTGGGCATGAACGTTGAAACCTGTACCCTCTACTTCGCTGGGACGGCCCGGGGCCCGGAGAAGGACAGAATGTCAACCCAGGCTTACTACAAGGAGCGGCTCGGCTTTGATCCGGCGGACACCGTTGCCGAGCATCAGCGCGAGCAGCGCTCCCAGCACGGCTACGAGGAGTCGCTCTCCAAGTTCAAAGGTCAGAATGCGAACGGATTCCCGGAGGAGAGTCCGGGATGCAATGGCGAGGTCGGGGAGCACCGCGCCGGCAACACCCAGGCTTTCTGGGGCTGCTGGGCGATGTTCATTGAGGCGCACGGTAGGTGGAGAGAGGCAGAAAACAGAGTTGGCATGCGGATGCTGGAAGATTTTCGTGAAGCTCGTCCCTTTTTTTGTGCTCCTTTTTTATGTCGTGGAATTTTTGTTGCTCTGTTCCCCCCTTTTTTCCAATAGGTAAGCAAATAGTTTACTATCTGATTCATCTGGCTGGCTACTGATTTTGTGTAAATCCGAACGTGCCACCAGAGATGCGTCATTCTCTGCGGCGCGAAACGATAAACGTCTTCGGGCTTTAATTATTGCAAATTGTATTCCGAAATGTAGTTGACCTTTGCGACATGCTAATTTCAACATTCCTAGTCGGTCCAGGAACGGATACTTCAGAAACAACGACAATCACGTAATATTCTTGTAAACAGCCGTAAATAAAATTTATGATATATCTGCCGGCAGAAACAATATAATATTTTATAATGTAATGTACCGAATTTCCATATATTTTTAAAAATTGATATTAATAGCGAATATTCGCGATGTTCATAATAATTATAATTTATCGGAGTTTGCATAATACACGAGGGAAATTTAACTTGAAATATGTGCGTTTGCGAGTGCTTGCAGTTTGCATATTGCAAATTTACTCACACGGTGTGATACGATTGGTTTTTACTAACTTTATAAATTAGTCCGCCGACGCTTGTAACACGCGCAACAAATCCGTTGAGTTATGCTCGCGGCGTTCGTTTGATAAATGTTTGAGTTATGAGTGTCGCTTTCCTCGCCATACCTTTTAAACGTGTCGAGTATATTTTACGTGCGGAATATCCAAACTATTACTGTATATAAGTAGACGGATAACGAGACGCAGCGGTTCTCTATAATTCTCTATAATTCTAAGTCTATTCAGATTAATGCTTTTCAATTTATCTCCGGATTTTTGAATAAAATTCACGATTCAACGTATTCGTAAAATTGCAAATCCACGCGTTAGATTGTGCCATTAATTTGCAGGCGAAGCAGACAATAAACAATAGCCGTTGCTTTTCATAATCTCTGCCTACTCGGATTGCGTGTAACGATTCGTAGACGCCCAACGGCTACTTTTCACTTAGCGCAAAAGTAAACGGCCGGAAGGCTCGACGTCAGGCGAATGACGTCAGCGTCGTTCGCGTCCATTCGCCACACCGCGGGATTGATCGCTAATTTATCGTAATTACCGACATCGTGTCCGGCAGAGAGCGATTCAATTCGTGACACGGCCAGTTACATCGTTATCGTTAACAACGTTCTTGCTTTCGTATCGCGCGCTTAGCTTCTCTTTTGACGGAGCCGACGGCGAAGGACGCGTATTATGAAATCGAAACTCTCTCATCCAGCGCGATCGTCTCCTGCATGAGCGCACCGGGGAACTGAGCGAGGCAATTAATAACGGAAGCGTAAAATGCACGCGCGTCGGTTGTCCGCGAATAAGCGCGGGATATAACGAGCCAAAGATGTCAATCACGAGTTTTTATAACTCCTTTAAAAATATCCTTGCAATAATATGTTCACTTGATGAATGTTCGACTATACGAATGGAATAACATTCTTAGTTAACAACTTGTAATAAATTGTGAGAGATAAAAATTATTGGCGTGCACAAATTGATTAAAATTTGAGGATTTTTATCATTGATTATCTTTATTAAATAAAAAATTTGCTTTTTTATATTATTAAAAGTACACTTTGTGTTAATGTTAGCATATAAACGGTTATATCCCGACGTTAATTTGCGGCTAAAAATATAGCTATGACAATACAATATTTCGTCATTCAAGTATTCCGGATGCTGTGTCATTTATGGATTCGTTGAATATTTGATAAGTGAACAATATTATCTGACGTTAACTCGTGACGCCATAAGGCTGTCGCTGAAATTGCTGTCAGGAATTTCCAAAAAGAGTAGATAGTAATGAATACGTTCATTGACGTTTATCTTTAGCCCCTCTAATGCCTCTAATTATCAGAGCTTCTACGTTCCAGCATTCGTACTCGCTAACAAGAACTGACTGAAGAAAGCATACGTCAATTTGCATTTCTTTAGGATTAGCTCATGGCTCTCTCCTCCTGCCAAAGCATTCATGCCTTTCTGTCGAAACAGTTAAAAGGCATAAAATAAACATGAAATATATTTACTTTTATTCCTGAAAAAGGATTTAAGAAAAAAATCCATCGAAATTAATAATTATGTAATCTAACAAATTAAAAGTTATTATATTATTATGAAATACTTAGGAAACATCATCTATTATCTATCGATTCGAAGAGTTAATCTTAATAGAAAAGTGTATCATTTAACATTCTTTTCGTCAGACACAATTAGGTTTTCAGATTTGATTGTGAAGTCTGATTATCTATTGGCACAGATTGCCGAGAACGAACGAGTAAAACTATGTCAATTAATGACTGACAATTCACGCAAAGCTATGTAGTGGCATTGAATGAATTGGATTTCCCAGAAATACGTCAGTTCGTGATCGGAAGTGAGTTGCTGTGGCGCGGTTGATAAAGATCAAAAGCCGCCCTTCACAAGTTTAGATTAGTTAGTTCAACTGACATCAAAGATATCGACTCGAGGAACTGACATGATTCCATATGTTTCCAGCACGATCTATAATTCCGATTCTGATCATTCGTCCAATCACGATCAGTATTTTTTATCGAGATTTTTTTTCCTATCGAGAAAGAGTCGTCGGATAGATTATGACCTTATGATTACCAGTGTAACTTCTAAGAAATATAACCGCTAAAGAGAGACCGAGACGTTATTTACTCTCACGAACATGTATCGTAATTGATTACATTGGAATTTTTTCCATGAGTCGTAACAGATTAAATCGTCGCTCAATCAATACTCTCTAGAATCATTTTAATTGAGCTTTTAACATGTTAAAGGGATTAAATCAATTTTTTTAGCGTATTAAATATTGCGTAGCTAATTGTACAAAAAATTATACTGACAGAACATTTTTTTTAATTCGTCTGATAAAAATTAGACGTTTCGTGCCTTTCTTGATTGATATACAATGTTATGATTGACACACATAATTGTTTCGTGCACAGTATGAGAATTGTAGAAATGCGATAGACATTATGATTGACAGGTAAATAGAACAGAGTCGTATACGCTCATGTCTCACTTTCCTTCTGTTAGGATTACGATTTCTAAGTTCTTCTGTTAAAAAAATTTTTATTTGGAAAAGTTCTTGATTGATTTTGAATGTAGAAAGAACTTGTCATTAAAAATAGGCCGCGAGTTGTGCGGTACTCCGCATATCGTTTGTTAATTGTTGCTGAAGCTACATTATCCATTGTAGTTCCGAATTGTAGGCAAGGTATCAAAACTGGGCCAAAGCTGTGTCTGACAACGAGGTGAGATAATCTGCGAAGAACAAATGCTCGGTTCGCAGAGCACAATGGAATGTGCGATTTAGCGCAAGTTAAGCTGCATAGTTAAGCTGCCGGGCCACACGCCGTCCGTGTGCGTGCGTATAAGACATTAAGACTTTCCGTAAAGTTTATACTAAACAAAGTTTCCGGCGCGCGCTTGTCACGCGAGTGCCTTACGCTATTTTGAAAAGAGGTGTTCGAAATTGAAACTATCGCGCGTTAACGCGGCGGCTAATGTAAGTCACTGTATTATTTTCTGTGGTTTACGGATGTTTTATTCAACGTGCAGAGAGGAACAGTGTTACATATCGCGTTTTATCGCATGTTACCGCCATGCGTAACACACATCGGAGTCGTTGAACGCGTCATGCGCGCCCATTAAAATACATATTTGATCCGCGATTCTCTCACGAGAGTGACAGGCGCACTCGGAAAATGTGATCGTTCACAGAGCAGGCCACTCGAGATATTTCTAAATCCAGAAGTGTTCCCGAGTGTACCTCTCTCTTTACCTCTTATTTTGTATCGTCTGACGGCGCTAGGCTGTCACTCGCCGTCGGCTTCGCCGATCTTTTAAACATACGCGGTCGATGATACCGTCGCTCGAGTGGCGTTAACTTTTCACGGGGCGTGCGATGATGACGTGTCAAGTGTACGTTATAAATCATAGTGCCGCGCTGAATCACGATCCCGATAAGTCTCTACGCTAATTCCCGCAATTAGCCGCTGATTTACACATTAATTTGCGATTGATCCCACATAATACACGCTACTTTCTGGACGACAAAGTGTTAAGCCCTTGACACTCGCGTATGCTCTAGTTATGATATATATGTCCTCGCCTCTAGTCGAACGCTTACGGTTTATGCATGTTTCGACATCTCGCGCTCGATATGAATCATTTGCGCGACTGGCAACTCGGAGATGTGTGTGCGTCGCTGATCATTTACTTATTCATGCTGCAGCAACCGCGATTACGCTACAAGAATATAGTCATTAATTCGCGAGAAACCCCGGGCTTTTTTCGCGCGCATCGACGCCGACGTCCTTGCGGTTTCGAACATTGCGTCACGCGTCGATGACAAAACGCAGTGTCCCGAATAATAATTTTGAGACCGAGTGATGTTCGGCCGAAGTGTTTAGCAATATTCGGTCGACGTTTGTTAAAACGGAGGGCTCAGTAGATCCAAATTTGATTCATTGTTTTTACGAATAAAGGGACAAAAACATGCGGACAGAATTTCGCCTGAGATTCGATTCTAAAGTGGGCTTCACTTTTATTCATGCGACCCATTGTCCGGATTTGTGTGCCTCGCATGCTAACCGATCGAACAGCTTGCCAAGCCGGCCGACCTTCCGTCCGCTCGCCCGCCTGCTCGCTTCGCCTACCCGTCTACCTGCTTAACCTCATCCGAGATCTGACCCGATCCGGTTGCCTGCGACTTTGGTTTCGTTATACTGACCTCGAGCATCCTTAAAGGCTCATTTCCAGGTGGCATTGCGTCACGACGCTCTCGCTGTCGGAGCCATGCATAAAATTACACTGCGATGTAATAAGCTACGCCTATCGATATGACGAATTGCGAAATTCGTTTTTTTTCTTCACAGTAATCTATATTGTGGCTGTTGATGACAATAGACGCAATGGCATGTATCGTCTATAACACGCGTAACATTTGCTACGTGACATCGAATGAGGCTATGCTCGTGACATGATTATAGCAGTAATTATGATAATGTGACAACATCCACGCTTGAAAAAATCTTTTTGCCATTTATATTTACTATTGAATAGTGAAATAATGAAATTTTGTGTATCATTTATCTTTATTATGTGAATTTATATTTATTGTTATAAATGTATTGTTTGAATGAAAGAAAGTACAATTGATTACTTTGCTTTCAAATATCTATTGGAAATTTTGTATTTATAAATTATATAGAATATAAATAAATTCTGTTATTTGAGGATGTTGCGATGTCATGATGCAGTAGTCACTGAAGAAGGAAATTGACAGTTTCACGTTTCCAATATATCTGATTTTTTTGTGTGTTGCAGATGAAAGAGACGCTATACAGAAGAAGACCTTCACGAAGTGGGTGAACAAGCATTTGAAAAAGGTGAGTCTCTTGCTTCTCGAATTAACAGATTCTCGTGCCAGTTTTATTACCCGCGGCGTTTTCTGAGTTCATGCGAATCTTGTTGTCACGCCATCGTTTAATTAGCCCGATGGCATTGATACTTGCGAAGTATAAGTTGTGTTAAAAATCGCACATAAGTAAAACAGTCTGTGAAAGGAAATAAAAAATCTGGAAAGAAATAAAAAAGTTCGAAATTATTATAATTTCAGTATAATTTCGAACTGCAGTTACATGCACGCATGTTACAAAAATATTTTAATTGTAATATTTTATTTGTTTACAACAAATATTAATTTTATTTATTCCAAATAATTTCCAAATAGTTATTTTCTAAAATTAATAAATATTTGGAAGCGAAGGAATCAATTGTATTTTTTCAGCATATAAGATAATCATACATCCGTTTAAAATACATTGAAAACATTAGGATTTTAGAATATTCTTAGGATATAATTTTAGAATATAATAGTTAAGGATTTGAATTATCAAAAAATGCATGACATATCAGATTTACTTGTGAAAGCTAAGTATCTTCGCCTTGGTCTTATCGTTATATCTTCGTGTGAATTCGACGTGGTATTCATCTTTCAGTAAACAAGTCTCAAATTTGTGCGTGGTGACGCATAATGGTTTGCTTTATGCATTCGCGAGCTCTCCGTCTCGTCCTGTGTGTCCATATGTGACGAAATTGTTTACGAAGACGGACTGCTATTTCACATAAAGTGGTAAATTGTCTTTTCAAAGATATTTACAATTTACATGATGCGAGACACGTTATAGAAGAAAATCTATTTTTATCCCAATTGTTCTTATTGAAGAGAAGAATCTATATATATATATGTTGACGAACATTTTTATGGAGCGTATAAATCTAGCAAACGAAAGGCAGCGGTATAAAACCGGTGAATGCGCCGTTAAATTGAAACGATCGCGAGCGAACAATAGCCACGGTACACCGCGAGAGCGGAGTCGATGGAAGCAGGAAACGCGTAGTAGCGCGGTAACGAGATTTGCATCGAACACAATCAAACGAGACGCGAACGAAGCACGCGAGTTCCGCGGAACGCCGTCGGGGCCCCGACGTTCTATTTTGTCCCCAGCTTTCGAAAGGATCGGATCGGCTCGTCGGATCGGCACCTTCTCATCGCATTCGTCGCTTTTATCACCGTACAAGTAGGCGGTCTCACGCGCGCGTGCGAATCGTCGCGTAAAAATAAGTAAACTTTCGTTGCGCAAGCGACGGTCCCGATATTGCGGCCCCCGTGTTGCGTATGTGGCACGCACGTGGGTCGAAAGTACCTGGTCGCGCGAGGAGGTACGGCTATAGAAGGCAGCGGCCCGAGAGCGGGACAAGTGGGCGACGCGATCGGGGAAAATCTCGAGCGGCGAATCGATGATACGTTACAGAGCGTGCTCCTAAAACGCCCCACTTTGTCACGCCGCTCGTACGAGTGCAAAAATATATAATATAAACACAAGCTAGCGATCGAGTTTCTGCGCGCGGAGTTGCGATATTGCGATCCGCGCTGTCGGATGATAAGAGTTATTTATCGTTAAGTGGCGAGATAGCCATCGTAGATAGCAAAGATATACTGGTGAGCTTTGATCTCTGGTATGTCGCTACGGACGCTGTGCGTCGTGTTATGTCCGGGATAAGAACGCGGTCAAACATTTCTCGATAAGGGACCGTCCGTCCGTTGCATCGCGTTGTGTTGCCTGCGGCAAGCGTGAGTAACCGCGAGCTATGCAGCTGGATGCTCCGCCATAAGAGAAGCGCGCCGTGCACGTTTGACAGCGTTTTGATAATTATTGCAGTCGCGATTTTGTAATAAATATTTTCATACCGCGAGCAATGTTGAGGAACGAATCGGTAAACATTCGTGCCTCGCACGATGCGCTGAAAAATGATTTTCTTACGCAAAATATATTATTATCTTGATTTCACGCTACATCAGACATGTTTTATGAATCACTGCTAAATGTAAAATTCTTGCTAATTGTAAGTTTTCAGATCGGTCATTGCAGATAAAATCAATAGGCGGTCGCGTCGGGCTTTTAGAAATCGTTTTAAACGCCGCATTAGATTGTTGATAAGATTTAATGACAGCTTAGAAGTAATGCAGGCACTTTATAAAATGAGTTCTTGGGATAATTAATAAACAGATTATTATTCTGATTTTTTACGCAAACGGGATTATTACCACACTAATCGTGAGATTATGCAAAAGATCTCGTAGCCGATCTCATTTTTTACCTCAGAAATGATACCACTGACAGAAAATAAACTACGAAGATACGGAACAAAATACGCGCCGATATCAAGTCTTAAGTTTTTCAAAAATTTCAATCAGGATGTTTAAAAAGGCTAAAGATAAAGTAAAAGAAGAATTACACTTTTGCCGAGGAAATATCGGTCGCGCACATATTTGCCACGAAATCTGCAATCGGGATGAAGACGTTTGCACGTCAATCTATAAGTACAGCCGCAAATATTTAATTAACTCATCAATTACACTTAAGCGAGAGAAAACTCATGAAACACAGAAGAGCCGCGTCCTCCCTCGTTCGGCGGTGTACGCACGTATGTCAGTCGGGATTTAATACAGACAATGATTCATCCGTCACGGCGGAGCCGAACCGAGGCGAGTTGGGCCGCGAGGCAGACCGGGTCGGCGGCTCCGGGAATGGTTCGAATCACGGCCGTATACGGGTGGAGTTGTCCCGTCGACGTATAATTATCGTAAGCTGGCATCGTTCTGTCGTGTCGTTTCCTGCCCACCGTTTCTCATTCCTCCTCGTCTCGCCGCAGCCGCGCGTCTTTCGTCGATCGTGTTGCGCGGATAAAGTGCAGAATAGCGGATGCGACTCAGCGCAAACTGATGCCGCGATGAATGCGCTTTACGAGGCGCTGAGAATGATGCAGACCAAATGCGCAGAATGAGTTTGAGAGATGAGATGGAGAGCATTTGAAAAATCTTACGCTGTGCTTATCGCGCGTTTCAATCCTGACGAGCCATACGGATTCTTTGACTAATTTAGAGTGAATTTTTTCTCCGCGGGAATCGATAGTCGAAGGAGGTCGTGTGAGGAAATAACGCGTCCTGTTGAACCGAATATAATACCTGCGAACTGTAAGCGCGCTCCGTGTGAATGGCGTTTTAATGATCGCGGCCTTCCCCGTTGGTTCGCGTATCACCTTTGTAACTCGACATAACGTTCTATTGTTGATTCGTGCGATCGGGTTGCCTTTCTCGGTGCAATGAATACGGCTGCATGGTCAAGGCGTCGCGGAACTTTTGCGTCCGCCAATTATTTACTCAAGTTTCGCCCTCGATTCGTTCACCGATACGTATTTATTTTCAATTCAACACGAGTGGTATCTTTTTTCAGAAAAGAATCGATTTTAAATTTGCTAAAGAATCTTCAGTTAAAAGGATCTTCGGTGATTTCGGGACACCCCCTAAAGTTTTCGCGGATGGAATCCGATGCTATCGTGAGACTCCGAAATTTCGCTGAAAAAATACAACAAGGATATTTCGATATTTACGCATTGCGTGATACCTGGTTACCAGCATCGACCCACGGCCGATCGGTTTCGCGCGCCCACGTTTGGTTCTTGCGAGCCTGACCTTATTCGGAAACCCTCTTCGAGTGTGCCGTTCCCGATTTACCACCTCCCGCCCGGTGTCGGAGGTGGGGCTGTAGGGCAGGTGAGACGGCGTTTACTCTCTTCGGGGCGCCGCCGCGACAGCCGCAGGGGGACGGGTGGGCCCAAAGGGAGGGCGCGTCGAAGGGGGAGAAAAGTGCCTTATACAGCTGTTTTTAGCGTTCCTCGGCCGACTCCACGCGCGCTTTCAATCCGCAGCACGAACTCGCGGCGCTTATGTAACCACAATACGACGGCACCACCGGCATCCCCGTCTGCATTCCCCTGCTTTTTGCACTTGTTTCCAGTCAGCTAAGTTTACAAGAATGAAGCGGTTTAAATTGAATTATCTTAAAACAGGAATTAATGACTTTATTACTCATGAAATCGTGTAATTTTGTATTTAATGAACAACCGTGAGAAAAAACGACGGAGTCTTATTAAATTCTTGTTTTTTAATGACTGTTTTTTGACAAAATGCGTAATAAATTAATTTCTTATATTTTTCTACATTCTTGAAATACGATTTATTTGTTCGGAAAGAAATTATGGAGCTACTTATTCTTGAGATAAAGCCTTGAATTATTTTTTTAAGTACTCTGCATTTTACCTGGTCAAAAGGTAGCCAATTATGCGAATCGTTGTACGTAGATAGCCTGTTCGTGCTTAACGCTGTATAAGACCTTGTACTGTGTTCGTGGAATCACAGGAAGTGAACGATCTGCGCAGACCGAGGACAGAGTGAACGTAGTCCGACGTTTCATAATGACGAAAGTTTTTCGTTATTTAAATGGACGAACGCTTACATTCGCATAAAAATCATTGTCTAGAGGCGACGTTATTTAAAGACGTGTAGTCACATGTTTGCCGTAGTGATAATCATAATAATTACTCGTTACATGAACGTATAACGATAAGACCAAGAATCGTATCGCTATATTCAACATACCGTATTCTCTCCCACGCGATCGACCTAATTATATGTAAATCATTACTGCGATTATATCGATCTATTGGATTTGTTTATGTTTCCTGCAGCACTGGAAGTACGTCAAGGTAGGCATCATGATCATTACTTCTTTTAAGACATACAAGGATCGATGGGATGTGTTGCGAATTCATATATTTATGAAGCAGTAGATCGCTCATTTTAGCATAAATTATATAAATGATGCATTAATTAATTTTGTTATAAATGAGAATTATTGCTGCGATAACAGCGACAGTGTGTCAGTGTTTTTATAAAATGCGGTCGTTGCTCGCAACGACTCGCTCATTTCACCTAAAGATTTTTTCTTAACACATACATAAATTACGAACGTGGTTTGCAGTGGTTAAGATAATTACTTTCATTAGCGGCGTAAAAGCATTCGCTGTACCGTTATGTGTCCCATCTATTATTCTTCCGTGCCTCTAATGCCTTTGTGACAAAGCTGGCGTTCATGTCGAAACGGCATGTCAGGAATTGTGGAGGAAACGCGTCACGCGACGGAACAAGGTATTCCGGCAATAACGTTGTTCTCGCTCTGCCCTTTACCGCATAGCCGACCCTTCACTCGCGGTGACTGCGGAACGCGAAGAATCTGGAATTTTTCACCGCCTGAAGTGGCTAGTCATGAAACTCTCAGTCAATCATATTGTAATGCATTTGAGCACGAATTACGAGACAGTCAATGTACGGAGGTTAATTTTAGCATTAGAAGAGATTTTACGTGACTGCAAATAGTTTTCCTCGTGTGTTTCGCGTGCATTTTTGTCCGCGTAATGAATAACGGATCTGTTATATATCACAGGCTTGTTGCACGAAATTTCTGAAGCAACTTTGACAGCGTATTTTTTGCGGATTTTTACGATGAAAGAAGTTCGCGCGGTATTTCCGGAAATACTTCCGCTTCGAGTTATAGAACTTTAAAGCTGCCGAAATTAGTTGTTTGTTATTTTTTAGTAAAACAGAGTTCGCCAGCAGTTGGCGAACGGCTGGAGAGTTATGTCGGTTCTAGTTTGTTGTTACGCGCGACTTAATGGCAAGTACATGCAAATTGTAGCAGCGTACTCATTACTGATTATTATACTAACGAAATAGTATTTAACGCAGATGGGAGCAATTAGCGAACTATGTTCAGAATTTATGTCATTAAATTTAGTAAAAGGAAGAGTTTGATTAAATTTTTTACACACTGTATTTTCTTTGAATTTATCTATATCATAATTAATGAAAAAATAATATAGTTTATATGTTTAATGATACATATATTTATGGAATTTCCACAATATTGCGAAACTATATAAATTTTGCACTTGTATCAATATGATTTAAGATTAAGATTAACCGGCTTTCTTTCTTGGAATCTTAAAACTTCTGCTTGATTGTCATTTTTATCGCACGCGTTGCGACACTTGCGACTGAATCGCGTCAATATTTGTAGACTTTACAACATCTATAATCGAAGACTTTTGACAAACGGGGATATCGCTATTAATCCGATTCACGCGCGATATAAAGGAGCGAGTGTCGCAATGTCGTAAAATGAAACGCGTCGAAATCATCTTTTGAGACGCGTAGACACGACTTGTCGCAATTAGTCACGGTTGCGAAATGCGGATGGGAGGCGGATCACGTGCCTATTCTGTCAATCGCTTGACATTTATTCACCTGGCTGTGCAGGACACGCGACACACGCTTACACGCAGGGGCGGATCTGCAAACTAGTTAAATTCGATTAGATTAATTATATTTATAGAAACAATTTGAGTTTAAAACATTTTGATTGCATCTTAGATGTTAATCAAAAGTAGAGAGATAACTTTTAATTTAAATTCCAAACTTTAAGAAGAGTACATTTTTTAAACAGAAATACTCGATTATCCCAAGACTTCCGCTTGGGAATTTTAAAAATTATTAGCTTTGAATCTTGAACAATTATTCGCCCTTGCTTATGCGAGCTCTTTTTACTAACTCACGGTGATGGTTCTCATCGCTCTTTTCAGACTTACACGTGCTTACACGTGTGCGTCCTTGTGAACAACCAACCATGCTGTTCCCCCACCGTAAGTTGATAGTTTTCATTCATTATCGGTCGTGATGACATGCATGATTTATCGTTGTGTTTATGTTGCAAATCCCGCCTCAGTGGACCACGCGGTGTCACGAATTAGGGAATTATGTAAAATGTGCCAAGCGATATTGCGCTTATCGCTTCATTTCGCGAGGTAGCCTCCCGTTGTAAATTGCTGCAACGCGAGTGTGTGTTCTCTTATGTTATTAACGTGTCGCAGTCTGACTAACACCTGCGTGAGATGACGTATTCGCTTTGCATGTTAAGAGTTGACTATTGATCGACCGATATGGTAGCGAACGCGTCGTGCTTAATGTGTATTTTTCAAACCGGTCTGTAGATTTGCATGTGTTTACTTTTGCGCGGAATCGGATTCTGTAATTAGGAAACCATAAATTTTGATGTCTCAATTTTTTACGTTGTTCCATTTTGAATCCCAATGTTTGATGTCTTTATTCCGCAAAAGTGGAATCATTGCGAGGTTATTGTAGTATGACGCATTTACCGTAATAGGAAAAATTCGAATTCTATGTATGAAAAGCATTGCATATTTCCATTACATCACGCGCGAACACAGACGCGCTACTTGTATAACGCATTCGACTCTTGCCCACGCTTTCATTATTTGCATTATGCATACGCAACACTCAGCATTCCTGCGGCTTTTTCATTTTCTATTCACGGTAACCGCTTGCGTGTAGTTACATCGCCGATGGACTATACCCTTATGCGTCCCTTATCTCTCCACTTAGCTCTCTGCTTCTTTCTGTATCAAATGTTTTCACATTTTTTTCCCCCTCGTCGTCAGATGTGCTGCTCTGCTCGATGTGAAAAGCAATAATTAACTTGCTCCGTTCGGAATTTGTTGCAGGCGAGCAGACATGTCGGAGACCTGTTCGAAGATCTACGCGATGGCCACAACCTTATCTCCCTGCTGGAAGTGCTCTCCGGCGAGCACCTTGTGAGTATTTGCTTCTCGCCAAGTTCTTGAAGCAATCTTTCTAACTTTAGTTTCATATGTACGTTTGTTAAATATTTTATCTTCAGAAAAAGTCACATTTGTTTACTATCAAGGTTAAACGAGTTTAATTTACCGTTAAATTTTATTAGATATCTGTTCATCGCGTTGAAGTCTCATAAATTCGAATTAGTCACATTCGTACTTTGTCCTCGGAAAGTACAGAAGGACATTGACTTCTGTCCGAGTTAAACTCGATTCAACAATTGGACCAAGTAGCGATAATTGTCCTCGATCAAGCGTAATTAACGGCGAATCGATCGCGTTAACTTTCAGCCGCGGGAGAGGGGCCGAATGCGTTTCCACATGCTGCAAAACGTGCAGATGGCCCTCGACTTTTTGCGCTACAAGAAGATCAAGCTGGTCAACATCCGGGCGGAGGACATTGTGGACGGTAACCCTAAACTCACGCTCGGCCTGATATGGACCATCATCCTGCACTTCCAGGTAAGTTTTTCAATTATTTTGCCAGACGAGATGATATCGACAAGTGCGATCCTTCACAAGCTAACGATCGCAGTTAATGATGAACATATGCGAATATGGTTCGCCTTTCGAATCGCATCTCAGAGAACAACGGCACCCCAGACGGGTTTATGTTGAATTCGCCAATAGCGCGCGAGTGCGTGCAACGTCATAAATTTATGCGCATCGCGCGTAAGCACGTGCTGCATTTTACGTCTGTTTGATATTCGGGAAGTGCCGGAAGTCATGTGTCTCTTTTCGATTCTTTCAAGTGATTTTTCCGTGACAAAAATTCAGATGAAAACCATCATTGTCATCTTTGTCACAACCTATTCATCTTTTTTAAATATATTTTTTTACATTTTTCAACATTTAAATCACAAATTTAGATTTCGTCAATTTTAAAAAGCAAGTTTTTGATTTTTCTTCAGTTTAAAACATTTTGCTACAATCATTTATTTAACATTTTGATTTTTAACATTTTGTAATTCTGAAACTATTAATGTCCCGATACTAAAATAATCGCCATTCTTCCCAGTTTATCTTCTGGCATTTAATATCGATAATGCAGCTTGTATGATGTAAATGAAGTGGCCGCAACGTCAGCATGATGGAAACCGCTCATCGCAATTTGCTGTAATGTGTTTATTGGACTATATGATGCGCGCAAATCGGCCGTGAAACTCGATAGAAAGTGAAACACATACAGTGTTCAAAAAATATAATATTTTTCTTAACCATTTATTATTTTTATTCACCAGCGGTTTAAAATTAAATCATTTTAGTGAACATATTTCACATCTTACATTAATATGCATTAAATTAAATTCTGCCTCGCGAGAATTTAATTTTCAGCTTCTATAAAGTGCGATAAATTACGCTTCCTCTAGAACGGTCTGTATATTATTCTCGTCATCGCTCGCGCGGTAGTTTATGGTAATGAGAAGTATTTATTAATCTTCCACACCATAGAATGTACTGACACCGCCGCCGTCGTTGTCGCGACACGGCCCCGGCGTCGGGAGTATTTTGCATTTGTGTACTCTTGTGCGTACCGTTGGACTAACGGAATACGTTGGTTCTCTACTGGGTGCGGCAACACTTTCGTCGTGTTGAAAATGGCTATTCGGTCACTTTTCCGCGGAACGGAATAATCGAGCGAGCGGCGTTTAAACTGACTTTTTTGCCGACGTTTTCACCGACTATTATTATTTCGCAATACAATTCGCAACACGAGCGGAGTGTGACATTAGGTAGAACGTTGAAAGTTCCGGTTCTTTAATAAAAGAGCAATAAAGCTTTTAAAACAACTCTTTTTCGATAAATACAGAAACAAGAGGTTGAATTAACTTTTATTTATGAACTTTGCGACGTGATGCTCCGCCCGAGAATGTGCGTTCTTCTATTTCGAGGCGGAAACGCGCGGAGGATAATTCGTGATATTAACCGTGTTTCGTCATAATTTTGCGCGGAATTCTTTCTTCCTTCTCCAGTCGTCATCAACAGAGTGTTGTAATCGAGCCTTTCTTCCGCCCAATTTGTGTCGCCGCGCCGGGACGCGCGCGCTTGCTGCTCTAGCGAAGCGAATCCCTCTCGAAGCATTTTAAACGCGCGCGGCGCAAAACGTCTCTTGGTCCGTTGCACTTTGTACCTCGCCGGCCACTGGCCTGCGTCATGAAACTTGACAGGTTGACCATTAAAATGTCGATGAACTCTGACCATTTTTAACGACGCGAAAAGCGATATTTATTATGTCTTCCGCTTTGTAGTTCCCTCGCGATGCGTGTTCTTTGCCTCGCGATCGCTCGCTTCTTTGATCGCATCTTGGAACACTCGACTGTCAGGATTCATCGGTGATGGGCGTTTCATCGCTCGGATAACACAGGAGCGATGTTTGAACGACGCGACGCGACGCGCCTATACTAATCAAGCGTCACGCATACTGCGATAGGTCACATCTCGGTGCGTAGTGTCCCGGGCTATTTTTAGAACCCGTATTTCAATGTAACGTTGTGGTAGGTGCCGGTAACGAACATACATATAGCTCGGGTGGAATCACGTGCATTGCCAAAGAAAAGCGAAAGCGAGGACAGCCGCTCGCCTCGTGCGGACCGGTCGAGACGGTTGGCGCTCGACCGAATCGAGCGTCGCGACGCATATGCGAAGTCTATTTAGGAGGGTAAAAATTATGTGCATTTACAGTTTAATCAGTAATTGCATTGAAATCTAATGTAGACAATTATTAATTTTATTAAGCTTGTTGCACCACGACATCCATTTTTTATTACAAATTATAAATGCGATTTAATAATTTTGAAATTCTGTAATTTGTGAGGATTGTTCTTAGCCGTTTTTACTTTGAGGATTCAAAGAGTTTGAATCTCGGTCATCCGTTTAATTGGTTTAATTTAGTTTCGCCGCTTCCGCTGCCGTCGAATAGATGCGCACGACGTGAATAAAGACGCGCCGCGCGCTCGACGTTGATTGTCCGTATCTCCGGCGCTTGCACGATATCGGCGAATCTCGAAACGGTCGTGCGAGTCGCGTAACGCGGCGTCTTGTATTCATTTTATGAATATTTCTTTTGATGGCGATCGCGCGTAGTCGCCACGCTACCGTGTCGCGTAATAAACGTGGCGACGCATCGGGCACGCATTTATTCCGGCCGGCAGAGATCATGCGCGTTTCTTTTTAATAAAGAGCCGCAAAAAGCCAGGCGAAGGCGCGAACCGAGTAACCGAGTTACGCGAGCGTATAAAGGCCGCTAGTGTTCTTTCCTTCTCCTCCCTTCTGGTGTCTGCCCGAGCTGTAGCGCAAGAAGAAAATCGAATTGAAGTTCCAGATATAAATTTGAGTTATGAGGAATGATCGTTTGCATCTGTATATTTCTTATCTCTTTTCTTTTACTCCTGACTTTCTTCTGCGTTTCGTTTATCTCTGCATCTCTCTCATTCTTCACAGTCACGGTCATTGTTGTCGGGAAAAATAGTTGAGGTGATTCATTCAAAAATTCTACCCTTGCTCTATCTTTCACGTAAGAGCTTTCAGAAATACATGATATCTCTCTGATTTCGGTACGTTAGAGTTTCACGTTGAAAGACAATATTTTGAAGGAAGAAAATGTCAATTTTACATTGCTAGAAAAATAGAGCCGTACAGCCGATTAAGTATAACAAGTCGAGCGTAGTTTTCTACTTAATCTTAACGCTGTAAGAGTAGACACCCATCTAATAGTGAATTTTCTTGTTTTCTTTTGCGCCGCAGAGCTGGCGACGCAAGGTAAGTCGATCACTTTACATCCCCTAAACGCCCCTGTTGTTAAATCGACGTAGATGTATTTAAGAAATTAATTGATTTCGCAATCATATGTGCAAATGCATTCTTCTCTGCTTTACCGACTACATTCGCCGAGACGATTGCTTCGTTAAACACAGATGGCTCGTACAGGTACTCGCACCTGGGGAATTATAGTGAGCGAATGAATGGGCGCTCGGCTTTCCACTTGGTTCCCACCTGAGTGCCCACACTCAATTCTATACATTCATTCATGAAAGAAGAAAGTAAAATTTTCTTTGTGTGTAAACTAAAATATTTTATATATTCGACTGCATTTTATTTAAAGTTACGAGAAACAATTTTATTTATATAACTTTAGAATTGGAATTATTACTTTTAATATTTAAATACCAATGTCTTCTGCATTTTATTGTCCAGAACTTTTACGGAAGTAAAATTTTGCTTGTATGTAAACTAAAATATTTTAGCTATTGCATTTTATTTAAATTCACGTAAAAAAATGTTATTTGTACAAATTTAGAAATTTGGAATTTGAATTTTTATATTTAGATGCCAATATCTTCTGCATTTTATTATAGAGAATTTTTTAATATAGTTTGTTATTTTAGATAATATATTTTCAAACAAAGCGGTGAATACGTTTCTCGATAAATACACGTGATATTGTAACGTGACTAGCGTTAGTTGCAGTATTTTCTAATTGACGTTATGAAATGTCCCTGCGGTCAGAAAATCAAGATTTATTGTAGTCACGATTTTCCTGTGGCCAATTGCCAATATCTTAGACGTGTTCTTATCAGCGGCTGATCTTCGAGATAGAGTCTGTGTCGTGAATATTAACAGTCCGCCTCGCTAATTTTCACATGCTCGCCTACGCTGCATGATCCACGATGCGCAGCAACGTGATTCGATGTAATACGCAGTCGTACATACAGTGTTTCGTCAATGCAGCTATTCAATGTTAAACATTAGAAAATTTCGAAAAATACCATTTAACATTTATTCGGAAAACACTATTTGAATTGTGTGAATGGAGTACAATAATTCCGCAGCCTTCTGTGTGTAATTTTTAATGAATAGGACGAGCAGCATGCAATTAAATATAATTACACGTATATATTCTGTTCTTTATTACTTAAAGTCTTCTTTCGTTACGTGCAGTAGAAGTGCATATTTGCGTGATGTATTTATCTGCGGTAAGTTGCGTAGGTGGACTTGGCAATAAAATGATCGTTTAAAAAAACATCGAGTCGCAGTATTTAGCTCCGCAGGGTAGATACGTTTGCAGTCGAAGGTCTTCGCTAATCGATCGCGCAAATTAGCGTCGCTTCGGGGCATCTAAATGAATTCCATTTACTTCCGGTAAACAATTTTTTTCATTAAATGCTGCCATCTCCTTTTTTTATTACATCTTGTTCCGTGTATTTTATCTTCTTAGCTTTCGCTATGCTTTATGCTCAATTACTTTTGATACAGATTTTAGATAATTTTGCTTGACCTTTTTATTCAAAAGGATATTCAGGAAATTTACTTAACGATCGTTCCGGTGTGCCCGCTTAAGCAGCGACGCGTTGAATGTCTCGATGATGACGCTATTACGAATGACATCATTCACCTGTGCGAAACCATTCAGAGCCAGTAAGTACAGGTTCCGATGCGTGTTGATTAAGAGTTTCACTCTCTTC